TTACAGTATATACGCAACAAAAAAAGATGCAATCAAAATAAAATGAAAGGCAGCAGAAGAAGAATAAGTCTTATAATATCTGCCCCTTTTTTATACCCAAAAATGTTCAAAATAAAAGTAAATTACAACAAAAATCCAAACAACTGAAAACACACAAAAATCTAAAAACAAAGCTAAATTTAAAACTACAATTAGCATGAATTCACTTATATATAAGCAGTTTATATTTACAGATTCAGTTAGGCCCACAGTTTCATTCCTGACCTGCTGAGAGTTTTTTATTTTTATTTTTTAACTTTCCACGTCTTAAATCCAGTCTTTTTTTATTTTCCTGTGAAATATTGGGATGATTAATGAAGCCTCTGTACTGACCATGTAGTTAAAATAAACAGTTTCTGTCTCAGGAGGTTGAAAGGTTTAAAGCATCACTCAGACAAACTGTCAGCTCTGACGACTTAAAGGGAAGAACAGCTTGAAAACAAAACTGTATTTATGTGTGCTGGAAACATTTCGAAGTCTAGATTAGATATATTTTACGTAGGGATGCAACGATACCAGATTTTTGAAAACCGAGTACAAGTACTTACATTAAAGTACTTGCCGATACCAAGTACCGATACAAGTACTAACAAATATTTTTAAAAATCCTTCTAATTGACTTAAAATGTTTATTTTCATTAGGCACTTCAAACATAAACAAAGTACATTACTATTGGTTTAAAACCATTTTACTGTCATATAACCATACCAAGACAGCATGTACAAAAAAATAAACAAATAAATCTAACCAAATATAGTTTTTTTTACATTTGAACTCTTTCTGAATCTTAAACAACTTTGCCACATCTTTCACCTAAATGTAAATTAAATTAACAGTACAAAATTAAAACAATCACTGAGCAAATGATAGTACATATCTGTAAAGTATGTCCAAACTTGTACAAAAATATACTGTTTATATATTTTACTTTTTAACAAACAGCCTCACCGCATCTTTCACCTAAATGCGAATTAAATTAACTGTACAAAAATAAAATAATGGCTTGGCAAATAATGGTACATATCTGTAAAGTACAGCGGGTAAAATAAGTATTGAACACGTCAACAATTTTCTCAGTAAATATATTACTAGAGGTGCTAATGACATGAAATTTTCACCAGATGTCGGTAACAACCCAAGTGATCCATACATACAAAGAAATCAAACCATAAATGTCCAGAAATGAAGTTATTTGTAATAATGTGGAATGGCACAGGGAAAAAGTATTGAACACATGAAGAAAGGGAGGTGTAAAAAGGCATGGAAAGCCAAGACACCAGCTGAACTCTCTCAGTAATTAGAAAGCAAGCCTGCCCCTTGTCAGTGCAAGTTAATATCAGCTGGTTCAGTCCCAAATGATGGCCAGGTATCACACAAGAACCATCTGATGATGGGTAAAAGTAAAGAGCTCTCTCAAGACCTTCACAACCTTATTGTTGCAAAGCATAATGATGGCATCGGTTACAGAAGAATGTCTAAACTTCTGAAGGTTCCAGTGAGCACTGTTGGGGCCATAATTCAGAAGTGGAAAGAACATTATTTCACCATAAACCGACCACGACCAGGTGCTCCTCACAAGATTTCTGACAGAGGAGTGAAAAGAATTATCAGAAGAGTTGTCCAAGAGCCAAGGACCACTTGTGGAGAGCTTCAGAAAGACCTGGAATTAGCAGGTACGATTGTTTCAAAGAAAACAATAAGTAATGCACTGAACCACCATGGCCTGTATGCACGCTCACCACGCAAGACTCCACTGCTGAAGAAACAGCATGTTGAAGCTCCTTTAAAGTTTGCTGCACAACATTTAAACAAGCCTGTGTAATACTGGGAGAATATAGTCTGGTCAGATGAGACCAACATTGAACTGTTTGGATGCCAGAATACACATCATGTTTGGAGGTCAAATGGCACTGCACATCAGCCCAAAAACACCATACCAACAGTGAAGTTTGGAGGTGGGAACATCATGGTGTGGGGCTGTTTTTCAGCATATGGTACTGGCAAACTTCAAATAATTGAAGGAAGGATGAGTGGAAAAATGTACAGAGACATTCTTGATAAAAATCTGCTTCCATCTACCAGGATGATGAAGATGAAACGTGGCTGGACATTTCAGCAAGACAATGAGCCCAAACACAAAGCCAAGGAAACTCTCAGTTGGTTTCAGAGAAAGAAACTAAAGCTGCTGGAATGGCCCAGCCAATCACCTGACCTGAATCCAACAGAAAATCTATGGAAAGAACTAAAGATCAGAGTTCATAGAAGAGGTCCACGAAACCTTCAAGATTTGAAGACTGTTTGTGTGGAAGAATGGGCCAAAATCACACCTGAGCAATGCATGCCACTAGTTTCTCCATACAGGAGGCGTCTTGAAGCTGTCATTGACAACAAAGGCTTTTGTACAAAGTATTAGATAAATTTCAGTAAGTGTGTTCAATACTTTTTCCCTGTGCCATTCCACATTATTACAAATAACTTCATTTCTGGACATTTATGGTTTGATTTCTTTGTATGTATGGATCACTTGGGTTGTTACCYACATCTGGTGAAAATTTCATGTCATTAGRACCTCTAGTAATATATTTACTGAGAKAAATGGTGACGTGTTCAATACTTATTTCACCCGCTGTATGTCCAAACTTGTCCAAAAAAACTAGTAGTTTACTGGTTTTAGAGCACAAACAGAGTGAAATGAAGCTGGCATCGGGTCCTGTAGTATTGGAGCACTTTTATAAGTACAAGTAAACGCACATTGTATCGGACCGATACCCAATACTGATATTGGTATCGGTGCATCCCTGATTGTATGTATGCAGCTATAAATTAGATTTCACAGTTTTTAAACTAAATGCATGGAAAGAGCATTAACAAGTATTTTTTCCTACTGAGTGTGATGGTTCCATTACTGTCAACATGCTCGAGTCTGAAGACTTTAAGGATGTTAGCAGCGTGTGCTGATTCTGTTTTTCTTTGTTCAGGTGACTTGGCGCTGCAGAAGCTCACTGCTTCTGTTCTCGACTATAACAGCACGAAAAAATGTCCCGGAAGCAGCAACAACATTCAGTCCAGCATCAGCTTCCAGTGTGGGAAGACCATGGTAAGACCCCGCTGAACATGCTCAGACGATGACTCGACCATTTCTGTTCATGGTTAGAAATTAGTGAAACTGCTTTTGTACATAATTTATTCCATTGGTTGCTGCAGCAGCTGCTTATATGCTAACTAGCTATGTGTTAGCATTTTTATAAAATGACCAAATATAAACTTCTACTTTTTAAAAAGCTGCAGACTAATGAACACCCACTGCCTCAGACCTGAGTTTGGTGTGTTTTTGTCAATGATTTCTAAACTGAGGTGGAGTCAGAACAGAGAAAAGTAAGAAAAACCAGAAAACATTCAGTCTGTTCAAACCAACCTTGTTATTGTTATTTATTTACAAGCATTGAATCAAGTAGTCAGGCCTACAAACTTGTATTTGTTTTGCATATCAGACATTCCTTTAAAGTAAACCGGTCTGGTTGGTTTTTCTAAAACTCGCCCTGATCACACGTGTCAGAGGAAGAGGTGAACGTAAACAAACGGGCTCAGACGCAGCAGCAGGAAAACAGAATCTGTCACGGTTTTATAATTATCTGTATTTGTTATATTCACTTGTTACAACTTCACTAAAGTCCTGTAGTGATGATCAACTGGTCCAAAACTTCAGTGGAAGCAGTGCGTGGTGTGAACACAGGCTTTGACTGGACAGTTTTTCCACTCTGACRACAAAATCTATATTTATCTTCCTGTTTTTTACAGATAATTTCCACCAGTATGTATCAGTGCAAAGGGTAGTAAATGTTTGTAAACTTCTTATGAAGTTTGGCAGATTTGAGTACATTTTCAAAGCTTTTATTTTGTTATATTTGGACCTGTTGCACCTCATTGGTGATGCTTTTAAGTGCTGCAAAATTACAAATTAAATCATCTGCTTGATCACAGTGTAGCTGCTAGCTGAACAACTCTGCTTTTTTGTTTCTCAGATTATGTCTGTCAGGTTTAAATCTAGTTTTTTTATTATTATGAGAGTTTCACAGACAATAACCTAAAGGTTGATATGATTCATTTGTTTCTATGAATAGAAATAATGCAGAACTTCCTCCATGAGCTCGTGCGTTTCTGATCACTCCAGGATGAGTGTGTGTTTTTCTGTGGTTTCATGATGAGCCGCCTGTTGGTTTGACATTAACGTGTCATTTCCTGTCGAGTACTGACAAGAAGCTTTTATCAGAAAACAAGAACAAGAAAGTCTGAAGCATGGAAATTGTAAACGATCTGTTACACAGTATCTGAGCTCAGCTGAACTTGTTTCATTTTCAGAGAAAATAAAATCAGTTGCTGATTGTTTTTATTGTTGAAAAGATTAGCAAAAGTAAATAAATACTTTTTTAAAGGGATCCCCGATTAGTTGTAACATTAGACTTTATTTAATAAACATATATTTTAACTATAAAATAAAGACTGTAAAAATACNAAAAAGTGGACAACAACCTGGAAAAAAGCTATTTAAACAAATTTGTTTTAAACTTAAATATAAGCACTATAACACTGAAGAGGTATGAAAAGTTGTTAGAAGAAAAAATCTTTACTTATAACTCAATGACCAATTTGAAAGTATTTTTTGTTTGCTTTCATCCATTAGTTACTTTTCACTTGAATTTCCACAAAACTATTAAAAACACTATTTCTGAACAGCTGTTTAACCCTAAATTGCTTTTTCTCCAAGTAAATAAATTATCTTTTAATAAGGAAAAAAACACTGTTAAAAATTCCTCTAAGTTATGCATAATTTAATAAATCACTGTTTCAACTTTTAACTATACTTGTTTGAACCAACAGGCTGTTATTCGTGCAGCAACACCATTAATGTGCGTTTGTCAACTACTTGTGTTAAAAGTTTTAATCTTTTCTAACATCTTACCTGCCTGGTCCTGCTCTCCGTACCAAGTGTTCCAGGTGCCCACAAGCTCACATGGGTATTCAGGACTGGTGTGAATGGAGGGCAACACACTTTGACTGGAAACACAAACATGTAAACATTAAAAAGACCTGCAGTAAAACTGAACGATCTGATTGATAAATGAATGGGAATTTCTTACCAGAGTTCATTGTAAGCATCGAGGCACTCTGGCTTGACATTGTGAACTGTGGGAAAATAAAATYAAATAAAACTAATAAGACAGCTTTTTAAACATGATAAGATTACTAAAAATATTTTACAGTTTGTCTCAACCACAGCAAGTCACAAACATTACATACACTGTATTTTGTACAGATTGTTGTCCTCTTTCTTGGCGAGCAGATGAGAGTGAGCGTCTTTTCTGGGGTCAACTTTTCTAACAAAAAGAGATTTGAGCCCAGAGAGGCTCCTGTGGAGACATTTTGAAAAAGAAGTTGGATACAACCAGCATTTCACCTGCTACTTTCAATTAAAAATAATAATAATAAAACATAAAAAAATCCCTACAAAGTTTGCCTTAAATGCACAGTGTGTAGGATTTTGTCAATTCTTTTGGCTGAAATTGAGATAATCACTAATGACAATAATAAAAAACATGTCTAATCATTGCAGACATCCCTACAAAGTTTGCCTTAAATGCACAGTGTGTAGGATTTTGTCAATTCTTTTAGCTGAAATTGAGATAATCACTAATAACAATAATAAAAAACATGTCTAATCATTGCAGACAAAGACCTTGTTTTATTATTTTTACCTTATAAAAAGCTGTTCATATCTCCATGGT